ATCATGAACTTGTTGGTCAACCTCTACAACTACCAATGCAGCACCGTAGGACACAACCAGATCCTGTCAACCTTCATGAGGACACCAGCGGCGACGGAGGCCAACGTGGGACAACCCTACATGAAGAACGCTCTTGCAGGGGGTTTCTTCCATGTAGGACGCGATATATCCCCCCATGGGAATGATGTGTTTCTTGGGTGATTCCCATGGTGGTTTAGTACTTCGAACGATTATTGATTAAGAAAGATTAAATGTAATAAGAAAGATTAATGTAATTTGCAAATCGTAATTAGAATTGGCGCTTTCATATAGGATTAACACAGCAACGACAGCACGAAGAACACAGAACAACGCATCCCCTTAAGAACACAGAACGCATCCGCTTACCAGCAGCATCTCCACCATGGTGAATTGCCTCCAGTCGATAGTTTCGTTAGTTTCGTTAACCCTTGATGAGTTTCTTTGCTTTTCACTACATAGAATACTGTAATAATGGAAGCTGCTCTTAGCTGCTCCGTACTGCAGGATCGATTAAGTTTTAGCGTGAACCATGTCCAACGTCCGTTGATAGTGAGCAATGCTCTGGAACATAAAAATTTATACTGGAATGAATACAAGGTCACTCTTATCCTGCAATGAAGAACGGCGTATGATATGAAATATGTGCATGCCGAGGAGGACGTCATGTGCATGCCAATACAAATYGTTTTGGACCATGTGCATGCCGATACGAATCGTTTTGGACCGTTTTCGTGGGATTGCTGTGCATACCCTTAAGTTCTAATCCCGCATTGGTATACACAAAAACCCATAGAAGTAGAATACGTAGAGTCCCTACTGTTGCATACTGCCACAGCAAGGAATACTGCTTGCATTACTGTAAGCTCATTAAGTTGATTTCAATCCGTGTAATCTAGTTCATTTCAATYAGTCCCTAGAATAACTAACCAGCGTTGCGTTTTAATTGTTTTCACCATGGGATTCACCATGGGATTCTTCTCCAGTGGTCTTGCGTGGGCGTTTGTCGGCGGACTGGTAAGTCGTAGCGTCGTTGTTGTCAGCGTCGTTGTTGTGTTGTTCTTTCCTGAAGAACCGGCTCCGGCTGCTGAACCGGCTGCGGCTGCTGTTCTTGTGTGCTTTGCCACTGCTGGAAGCAAGTCATGGCCATGGCGAGAGCGTTCTTCCACATCATGTTGGTCTCTTTAGCAATTTGGCTTGCCTCCTTTGCAACCAGGGWGTGCTCCTTTGCTAGCTTAGCCTGCTGTAAAGCTAACTCACGATTTTCTTTGTCCCTTTCTTGCTGGCTCTTCAAGTACTCGTTGAATACAGTAGCGTCTGGRACCTTKGAATAASATCTCTTATTTGAAGAAGAGGAGTGCACTTTGGAGGGCTTCACAGGAGACGTTTCAATGGTTGATTCATCTCCAGCGTGGATGATGGGCGCTCTCCCAYCCGACACTTCRGCAGAGGGGATCTGCTCCAGCTCCAGACCCCCCTCAGCGTCATCAACAGCAAAGCCTTTCTTCATGTCAAARTCCTCCTCTCCAGTACCAAGGTTTGCTTTCTTTCCAATCAAGTAATGGGCGCGCCTGGCAAGCTTCACGTACCTAGGCATGTTGGGGTTGCCGGTTGAGCTTTTCTTTCTTTTGATGGCACTGTACTTGTTCCTGATGGATTTCTTGCTCCTGTCAAAGGGCCATGTTACAGCATGCTTGGATACCACTGTATCCCACTGTTCTGCATCAATTGGTAGCACTTCTACTATCAACTCCATGAGGCTCTCCAGCTCTTCATCCGAGTAGTTAACAGTACCAGTTCTACGGCCATTGGGGCCGTTGKGGGCGTTGCCATTGGGGACGTTTGGGTTGGCTTCCATGTTAAGAAAAATGACATGGGGGATTGGTGGACAATGAGACGTCTCTTTGCAGTCGCCGGCCTCCTCCTCTTGCTCTCTTTGATTCAACAAAGAGAGGTAATAGAATGTAGCAACTACAACGCCTGGCGGTATGGACATTTTATTTGTTGTTTGTATGGTTTAGGCGCCTTTGTGTAGGCGCCTTTTCTGTCATTGTTAACAGAGGCGCCATGGTCTAGAGAGGCGCCTCTTTTGTTATTSTTGTTGTTTAGAACAACGGAGTCTCTAAGTTGGTCTTATTTTGGYGGGCCTTTCTGTTGAGTCTTTCAACGGACTCGAAATTTTGGTTCGTGGATTCCACTCTAGATTTAGAGTTTTTAGAACCGGGTGGATCGACCGGTTCTAAAAACTCTAAAGCTAGAGCCAAAAACTCCAAATTCTGATGGACTGACAGACCAAAAATTTAGAGATCTAGAATAACGGGAATCAGGAATCACCCAATAGTACAMGTACGTACSGTACGTACGTACTCGTTATCATTCGAGTACAAATTTGGCAATCAAACATTACGACTCGATTTCTGTAGCGGCAGACCATCCGGATGTCAACCTCAGTTTTGGTTCTGTTTTGGGACCAGAAGAGGGCAATGGGAAGTCCGCATACTCTATGTCGATAATCGACAAGATCAATAATTTTGTAGTCGCACTTGAATTAAGTGACAATTAAGTGACAACGTTGGTGGCATACCCATCTATGGGACCAGTGCCGCACAATACTACGTAAATATTTGGAACAGTGCGTTGGCATACAACCTCAATCAAAATCGATAACCATGTCTTCGCTGACACTCAATGCAGTAGAATACGACTTCGAAGACTATGTACTTCAACACGGTATCCCGGAGACTCTCGACCCGCTTCCATATCGCAAGGCAGGAAGCGTCTTCTCCAACGCGGTCGAAAACGACGATCCCAACAATAGCAACGCGAACGAAACCGGCGGCGCCTCGAATTCTGATCTACAAAGTGGCAACTTGACGAGCGCCAAGCACGATCCCCGTCTGCGCACGGTTGTGTGTCGCCATTGGTTGCGAGATTTGTGCATGAAAGGTAGTGCTTGCGAATTTTTACATCAATACGATCTTTCGAAGATGCCTCTTTGTCGACACGGAGAACGGTGCAAAATTTCTGATTGGTGAGTTGTGATGATTTTCGCATTAGTCCATAGCGCTGAAACATTTAGTATTTTTGTGATACCTCAATGAGTTTCGAAGAGAATTCTGGTTGTTTGCCTCTGTCTGTGATTGGTTTTCTCTGACAAAAAGCTTTTTCCTTTCGACAACCAACAATCATACCGCCTTTCCGCATTGACGAAACGTGATGCAATACGTGATCATAAAATCTCAGTCCATTTCGGCACATAAGCGAAGCTAATAGGTTAGAATGCGTTTTTTACAGTCAAGGTTTTTGTATTCACGGACCATTTTGTCGCTACAAACACGTGAGACGGGACCGTCAAGATTTGCCCACGGTGTCGGACTTTACCCTGGGGTTGAGCCAAATGCAGGCAGCTGCCAATCAAGTAGACGGAGAAGGTGGACGGAAGAAACTGCATGGTGGCCAGCAAGATGCGAGGCGTCCCGCACCGAAACCCAACGAGTTTTTCAAAATCAGTTTATGCAAGCACTTTCTGCAGGGTGACTGCCCGTTCGGAGAGAACTGTCATTTTGCTCACGGCGAACATGAATTACGGCAATTTCCAAACAAAAAAGACCGAGACAGTGACGCAATGGACGATGGGTAAGTATCTTGTGTTGGCGTATGCGCTCATTTTTGAGTTCGGGCCTTCAGATATGCCAGGTCTTTGTAGCGAACTAGCTAATCTTCTTTCTCATCATGCATCCACTCCTTCCTTGAAAATATGCTTCGAAAGTGGAAACAACACAGGCGACACAGAGTTAAACGACAACATGTTTGGCAATAACTCCAGTTCTAATTTCGATTACTTTCACGGCGGAGCTGCAGGTGGAGGAAAGCCCTCGCCAATCCTTGAACCTGAACAAGCCAGTTTTTTTATCATGCTCGCTGCCACTCAGACTGATCTAAGTATCTCAACTGTACAGGGAGAATGGTATGTTCAACCAAAGCATGCCAAAATTTTGAATGATGCATACCGCACTACGAAAAACGAGACCGGAAATTCTCAGGTTATGATTTTCTTTACTGTTAGCGACTCCCGACACATACAAGGCGCTGCCGTCATGACCTCAGAGGCAGTTCATCGGGAAAATGCTCTTCGACAAGAATTCTTTGGCAATGCACCTCTCGAATCCCAATTTTCCTATCGATTTGCGGTTGAATGGTATCGTACAACAGAAATGCCTACCTCTACAGCATTGGGAGCAGCGCCGGATTTGTTTTTGCCTACATCCAAGACTGAATTGTGCCATCAAATGAGTACCAAGACGGGTGAATCTCTGATGAAAGCTCTATGGAACTCTCCGTTGGTAGCATTATACGAGTCAYGGGGAGGGGATATCGAAGAAAATACAGAGTACAAAGAGCCACCAGCTCCCGAGTCACTTTTGACCGATTTTCGTTGTCCATCTTCCCAGGAAGTCCCATGGCCTGTTATGCCAGGACCAGGCTTCATCTTTGGTTGTTCTAGTGACACTATGGACGAATGTCTTGGTCGGGGAATTTTGGGTATGCCAATGCATATGAAGGGGGCAGCACAGTCGATTGTTCCAGGATCGAGCGTCTTTTTGTTCAATGTGACGGACCGTCTCCTGTTTGGTATCTTTGAAGCGTTGACGCCTGCAATAGTAAACATTGAACCCACTGCCTTTTCAAAAAATCCGAAKGCCACCTCGAGCCCTTTCCCTGTCCAAATTCGAGTGCGAGTAAGTTTGGAATGTCCACCTTTAGAAGATACGGATCCAATTTTGAATGATATTTTGCGAAGTCGTGGGAAGAGTGGACGAATTGGATCTTTGACTTTTGCTCAGACTGAAGCTATTGCGAGTTTGCTAGCAAGTCAGTGCGGTGCTCTACAGTATATGATGGATTACCAACAAGGAATGTGGGAAGGCGTTGAAGTCAATCCACCGCCAATAGCGTTGCCACCTCGTAAAGTTGAAGTAAAATGAGAAAAATATTGAAGAATGCCTCGTATTATAAAAGTATTGTATTGTTAGTGCTACATTTTGAAACAGCATTAAAACGAGTTGAAAATGGAAACAGCAGGAAAAGAAATCTCCAAGTTTTGACAGAATTGTCAGAAACAATAGATCGTATCACTCTTATCTTGTAATTGCTGCGCTACTATGATGTTCATTTGCATATCGTTGTTTATTCTTGGAAAGACGAATACTTGTAACTTGGTAGAATTGTGATACTGCTGCTCACTTAACCATTAGCATAATGGTTCTAATAATTTCTAAAAATCCTTTTTGTTACTCCAAAGTGTATACAGTTACTAGTTGTATGAACAACATACATAGAATAACTACCATCCTGAATGAAATTGAATGGTACTAGCAGTATTATCACCATTGATTCTTTACTAGTACTTATGAAGTGCCAGTCAAGTGTCTCCCACCCACAGTCTTGGAAAGTAAGGTAATGAAAAATAAGTAAGTACTACTACTAGCACAAATGATTCACCCAGAAGAATTCACAGTGAGAACATAAGAAACGAACTAGTACTGTCCTACCAATCTGATGGCACTTCTCCTTGCCACCTTTCACCAGCCTCTACTAACAACAGAACAGCACTGTTCTAGTACTACTAGTACATCACCAGTAAACTCAACAAGCTCATCTACAATAGCATCACTCCTCATGCAACTCCTGCTACCACCTCCACAACCAAAAAAGAAATGCCCAAAAAACTTTGCTGTTATTGTCACTGTCACTGGCTCCCTCTAGCAGTTTCCTGTTTCCTTTTGGAATAGGGCTGGGGTTGGGGTTACTAGGGTTGAGGTTTTACTTTAGTACTCCACTACTACTAGCTACTAGTATCAGTATTATGTTTTTTTGGTTTCTGGTGACATCCTCTACAGTACTAATCTAGACYAGTAGCAGTACTATTATAGTGTTACGAGTACTTGGAAACATTCACCATCATTTTTAAAAAGTTACCACTACTAATAGCATGCCACGGTGACTAATAGTAGTAGTAGTTGCATTACTACTAGTGCTAGTAGGAAGTAGGAAGAGAAGAAAGATGCTACTACTAGTAGTAATGCTAGTACTACTAGTAGTACTACTACTAGTAGTATACTAATCAATGAGAAAATGGAAAACAACACCAAGAATGAGGAAGAAGAAGTTTCATTTTTTGGGAATCACTACTAGTACTAGCTACTAGTACTAGGAGTACTCCTAGTACTAGTAGTAGTAGCAGATTTTTGGCCATGTTTTTCACAAGTAAAATATGTCAAGCGTACCTTTGTCCATCACAAATTATTGTCTGACACCGTTTTTTCTATGGAACTTTTGTTGTGGTGACAATCCTTACATCCAACAAAATATATTCTTGGTGAACATAYTCACCTGAATTACCTTGAAATTTTGTGCCAAAACTGTTCCTTGATGATGTTGGCAATGGGGTTACCATCTGTCCATTGTTCTTGAACACAGAGGAGTCCTCACAGCAATGTACGAAAGCTACCATAACGCCAGTTTATGCACATCTTGTTCTGACAATTGACAACTAATCAACCCCCACCCCCATCAACAGTATCAGCAACACTCCCAAGCAGCAACACTAATCTGCAACGATGCCAGCTAGTATTGATGCCAGTTATCAAGGACAACAAATCAATAAATCAATGAATCAACACATTAAGGATAACACCAGCAACCAGMAACAGAAGATATCCCCCCTCCCTTCTTTGTCAGCAGCAGTAGCAGTATGTGTGATGGTATAAGCAACACTATCAGCAACACTATTGATACTAATGCAACTCACCAACATAACCAACCTGCTTTTGGCAATAACAAGGACAACRGCAACAACACCAACAATTGCCAACAAATGGATGACATCCATCAGAGTCAGTGAGACATTAAACAATAATATGTTTTTATCTGAAAGTTTCCGACATTTTTGAACTGGGCCCTATGTTAGTTTTTGAGGAAGGCAGTCGCCAACCCAGATCAGGGTTTCCCATAGGTTTTCTCCATGTTTAAACAAAGAGAAACAAAGAGAGTATTGTCCAGGCAATGTCATCTTTGTTTCTCTTTGTATTAAATTGAGAAATCAGAGAAAAAAGGATAAGGAATATTATCTTTCTTGTTTCTCCTTCTTGTAAGATTAGGGAGTGCCCCCATCATTTCACCATGTAATAACAAAATGAATACTGCCTGGATTAAATTTTCTCTGCTTGAACAAAGAGAAACAATGCAGAAATTGCTGCCCAGACTATATTCTCTGTGTTTCTCTTTATTTAAAATGAGAAACAAAGAGAAACAAGGAGAGGCAATATTCTCTTAGTTTCTCTTTGTTACAACAATGAGAAACAATTAGAATATTGCCCTTTAAACAAAGAGAAAAAWTCTCTTTTTTGTTGTTTCTCCTTGTTTTGCAGATTGTATGGGAAACTATTTTATGAAAAAAATACTAATGAAGGGCCCTGAAAAATTAGATAAAAAAATTATTGGTGTTTGTGAGGGAATTGCCTTTAACTTTGCCAGCATGGGACCTGCATGTATGTCCGTCCATACATACATAATAGTACCATAGCTCTACATCTCAGATGATAGTGATGTCATGATGTGCTACCTACACAAACCCAAGAGTTGTATGTACAATTTCCAGTGCACCATTTCTAGGAGCAGGGGTGATACATTTAGAGGGGTGCGCATCGATTCAAAAAATAATATTCCATCCTCGTTCACAAAATTAAAAAATCAGCTTAAGGATCTTTTACATTCTAATACTAGTAAAACTATCCAACTTTTAAGTAGTCATAACTTTATCAAGAATAGTAATTATATAATTTTTGAAGACACTGTATGCACCAGTTTTTTATGATGATTCTGGTGGCTGAATAGTACCAGCATTTTGTCAACAAGTATCARATGGATATTTAGTTACCACTAGTACTAGTAAAAGAGTAGTASTACTACTATTACTAGTGTCATTATTATTATTATTATTATTGTTACTTGTGGAAGTAGAAGTACCACAACTACTAGAACTACTAAAAGTGAAAGTATTTCCACCAGGGATTTGTTGCTTTAAAGCATCATACTATTAAAAAGGTACTTGACAAAATGGTATATTCAGAATCCTCATAAAAAACTGGTGAAGACATTGTCTTCAAAAATTATATACTAATTACTATTTTTGATAAAGTTATGACTACTTAAAAGTTGGATAGTTTTACTACTATTAGTATTATGCAGTAAAAATTAGAATTTAAAAAATCCTTCAGCTGATTTTTTATTTGTGAAAGAGGWTGGAATATGATTTTTCTCTCACTCTGTTGCAAAATCTTAGTGCCGTTCGAAACGACGATGCGATGCGCGCGCACCCCTCTAAATTTATGACCCATAGGAGTAGAAGTATTAAAGGCAAGTCCCGTAGTGGCAAGTTATTGGCAATCGAAAATAAAAATATTTCCATTGTTTAATTTCTCGCTGGTCCTAAAATATTTCTATAGCGAGAGGAGGAGAGCAGCACCAACAGAACCCCCCCCCCCCCCTTACCCACCAGCAGTTTGCAGTTTTCACTACTATGGCATCCCAACTAGTAAGTAGTAATGGAGGTGATCCAGTAGTAAGCACTAATATTAATTCTCAAGTAGTAACCACTGATTTTATATCCCCAGTAGTAAGGAGCGCTAATAGAAATATTTTAGGACTCGATAGTTTTTTGTGTGGAGGGGGGGGGAGAGGGGAAACAAAGACAGGAAAATGAGAAAAAATTGACACCTGGGGAATTGCCAATAACTTGCCACTACGGGGCTTGCCTTTAATAGCTCTACATAGGAGTACGTACAGTCGACTGTTGTGTGTGTCATGTGTGATACAGTATTAAAAAGTCATGATGATCTCTTTTTAACAATATTTTTATGAAGTTTATTTTGTATTTTCGTCGTTTCTACATGCTTGCGCGCGGCACTATTAATTCCCTTTCAGTCAATATAATATTCAGATACGAATATGGTCATATCCAAACGAATACTAATCGCCAACAGAGCATTTGATGACTTCCGAAGATTCACATTTTCCAATAGAGGTCGTCAAAATCGTTTCTGATCAAAATTAATCGTGTTGATAAGAATTATTTGCCGGAAACCCTTTGTACTCAAACATTCCGCCTGACATTTGGATACCGTAAAGAAAAATTGAGAAACATACAACAATAAAGTAACTGAGAGCGACCCTAGAGATATTGACTATGAAGTTCACCATCACCAAGGCAGTCCTTGTGGCATTGACTTTGGGAGAGAGTTCTTTGGCTGAAAAAATAATAGGAGACAGCAATGATAGTGAAGATGATCCATTTTGGAGATCCTTTATCGGCCAGGGCGTTGATAGTATGGCTGTGCCAACCACTAAGCCGAGTGTGAAACCAATCGAAATAACTTCTGAACCGACAAATTTGCCAATCGATCCGAGTACAGCTACTCCCACCCAGTTGGACACTTTTAATAGTACCTCTGCACCAAGTCTCACCGCAGGGACTTCAAGTCCTAGTAGCAATTCTTCATCTTCATGTGAATCTATTGGTATGTGTAAGAGGTTGTGCGGCCTAGTTGAATCATGTATCACGAGAGCATATATCTCACAACTATGTTTCAAATTGTTCATCTCAAAAAATTGAAGAAACATTAATTTGTTCCGTGCCGGAATTCGGTACTCTATGTGAGCTGGTAGATCTAGCTGACTTAGGAGATTCATTCAATGAAGATATTTTCACTATTTTCGCCCCGACAAATGATGCGTTTGATTCGCTGCCAGAAATTCCTGCGTTAACCGATTTTGAAGTTTTGAGGGATGTCCTCCTCTATCACACAGTTCCTGAAGTTACATTACTTTCAGGAAATCTTGTTTGTGATGGGGATATAATGATGGGGAGCAAAGATTTTAATGAAACTACAACCACCACCACATGCGTCGGCGAAGATATCTTTCAAGTCGGAACAGGAAATTCGCCGGATGGATTACCGCTGATAATTGGATTTGATGCTGAAGCTTGCAACGGAATCATTCATGCTATCAACCAAGTTATTCTTCCGACTTTGACTACGCTGCCACCCGTTGCTCCAACTCCAGTTCCTGTTGATCAAATACCTGCTCCGACCGATTCTACCACAGCACCTGTGGATCCCCCAACTCCGGTTCCCAGTGATCCAACAAACACAACAATCGTTCCTACGACAACTCCTGTGGATCCAGTTCCTCCAACATTCACACCTATTGAGTCAACTGCGACACCAACAGATGTCGTTTCTTGTCAATCGATTGCAGAACTTGTCTGCAGCCTTCCTCAGTTTGAGCTTCTGTGCGCATTGGTAGGAGATGCTGGCTTAGCTAGTGTACTAGACGGTGAAGAGAAGTTCACCGTATTTGCACCCATCAATGATGCTTTTACAGGGCTATCTGAGGAACTTGCCAGTGCAATTATCTCTGATGCAGAGCTCTTAACTAGTGTCCTCCTGTCACATGTTGTTGACGATGAAGTTTTCTCCACTGATCTTGAATGCAGCGGTGAAGTAGAAATGGTTAGTGGTGAAGCTACAACAACTATCTGTGTCAGCGATAGGGTCTTCCAAAGTGGAGATGGAAATAGTGCTGATTCTTTGCCTGAAATAATAGCAGCAGATAAAATTGCCTGCAATGGTGTCATTCATGAAATTGACCGAGTCATTCTCCCGCGTGGAGAAGAAGCTCCAGTCGAACAGACTCCTGCAACTACTCCCGGTCCATCCCAAGTTCCCGTAGAAAGCACTACGAGCCCAACACTAGTTCCTACCCAAGCTCCAAGCCAAATTCCGATCGAAGCAACGTCTGCTCCCGTTGATATTGCGTCTTTAGCGCCAACCGAAGCTCCCAGCATAGTTGGAGTGCCACAGACAAGTGCACCGACCACAACATCTGATTCATGCCAGACAATTGCTGAGGTCGTATGTTCCCTTCCTGAGTTCGAGCTCCTATGCTCTTTAATTGGACTTATTGACTTACCTGAAGCCGTTGATGGCGAAGAGACATTTACTCTCTTTGCACCTATCAATGACGCGTTCACAGGACTACCAGCAGATCTTTCTGACGAAATTATCTCTGACACAGATCTCTTGGCCAGTGTTCTTCTCTCGCATGCTGTAGCAGGCAAAGTCTTTTCTACTGATCTGTCATGCAGTGGACAAGTGACAATGATCAGTGGTGAGGAGACAACTACTGAATGTGTTGACGATCTGATCTTCCAAAGTGGTGCAGGAAACACTCCTGGGTCTTTCCCTGAAATTGTGGCACCAGATGGAGTTGCTTGCAATGGTGTGATTCATGGCATTGACCGAGTCATTCTTCCGGCCGCAGTGGGCGTTGATCCTGTGGATCTAGACCCAGATTCCCCTGATGCGCTTTCCTTTGTACGGGATGTATTGAGCAAGTACCTTCTCAATGGCGGAGCAGAGCTTGACGACCCTGATAGCTATCAATCAAGAGCATTGGAGCAAACCGCAAGCATCACCGGAGCTGAAAGTTTGTCAGAGGAAGAGCTCGTACAGTATTATGTTCTTTATAGCATTTTGTTCGCCACAAACGGAGTTCCAAATGCCGTTACCGAAGCTATTCCCAACTTTGAAATTCCAACATGGATCAACGACGAAGGATGGTTCGGCGGAGACATTCCACCGTGTGATGGATGGTTTGGAATCTCCTGTGACGAGGAAGGGAAAATAAAAACTATCGATTTGTTTGATAACGGATTGACCGGAGTTTTCCCCCCAGAGGTTTTGCTGCTTACCTCCGATAGCCAGTACGCTATGGGGGCTGGGACATTGGAACGTCTTGATTTGACTGGCAATAGGTTTCTATCCAATAATAACGATAGTTCCTGGATGACCGATCTCGGAACCAGTATGCGTAAGTTATCCTTCTATTGATTTTGTTTTTGCAAAGGTCGTGACAGCCCTACATTGTTTTGGAGTTATTTTTACTAACGTATTTTAACATCTCTTGCTTGGTGCTGTATTCCAGAGACAATTAGCGTAGAAAACACAAGCTTCGGTGGCTCTCTTCCACGACTTCCAGATGGTCTCGTGAATTTGGATATCTCTGGCGCATTCTATACAGATGGCCTTGACGACGCTACTTTTGAAGGACTTGAACTCATGAACTTTATCGATCTCGACAACAACTTGTTCGAAGGCTCTGTGCCAGCCGTTTTCAACCGTCTTCCGACGCTTGAGTTCCTCTATCTCTCTGGCAATTCCTTCACTGGAGATTTGTCGTTCATGGAAGGAATGCCTGCTATGCGGGAACTGTGGATCGACAACAATCCAGAACTGACGGGACAACTGTACGATTTCATTGGAGACATCTCTACGCTGGAATCGTTCTCCGTTAGCTACAGCATGCTCACCGGTCCGATTCCAGAATCGTTTGGCGAACTCGAGCAGATGAAACAAATGTGGTTGACCTCCAACAATCTGACGGGAGCCGTTCCAGCATCGCTTGGCAACCTTAATTTTATGGAAACCCTTCAGCTCGAAGGCAACGACCTGACTGGATCCATGCCGGACGAAATTTGTGCGCAGAAGTTTGACGATTTCCTCACCGTCCTCGGAGGGGACTGCACAGACGAACAGTTCGAGTGCTCATGCTGCACGTGCTGTGGCGTGGAGGATTGCAACGACACGGTGGAGTCCCGTTTCCAAAAGCGAAGACTCTAGGTCGGTTTCAAAAGCGTTGTCCTAATACCCATCCGTATTCCACAAAGGTTTGGCGCGGGTGCTATCCGCCGGCCAACTTCAGAGAGTGACCAACAACCGACCGACAGCGCTCTTCTCGACGACGAATAAGTGCTTTATTGGAGAAGTTCGCAGAAAACATAAATGTTCACAGTATTTTGCACAGTAAACCACGTATTTTATCACTAAGTCAGAAACAAAGTTAGAAGAACAAATGACAAATCCCCTTTTGTCCTACAAAGGCTAAGACGCCAAGAATTACGTACTCGTTTGACATATAAACTGTTTTTTCACCTTTCATGTGATCATGAAAGTCCAGGACAAGAATTTGATCTGCTGTATTTGGAATAAATGAACCAGTTGAAATAAGAATAGGGCCCTCCGTTAGTTTTTAAGGAAGATAATCGCCAACCAAGATCAGGGTTTCCCATAGGTTTTTCCATGTTTAAACAAAGAGAAACAAAGAGAGAATTGCCCAGGCAATATTATCTTTGTTTCTCTTTGTTAAAAATCGAAGATTCAAAGAGAAACAAGGAGAAGCAATATTTTCTTTGTTTCTCTTTGTTTAAACATGAAGAAACAAAGATAATATTGCCCAGGCAATATTCTCTTTGTTTCTCCTTGTATGAACGGGAATTGCCCCCAACATTTCACTATGTAAAAATACAGAGATTAGTGCCCAGGTTAAATTCACTCTGCTTAAACAAAGAGAAACAATGAGAACATAGCCCAGGCAATATTCTTGTTGTTTCTCCTTACTTAAACAATGTGAAACAAAGAGAAACAAGGAGAGGCAATGTTCTCTCAGTTTCTCTTTGTTACAACAACAAGAAACAATGAGAATATTGCCCTTTTAAACAAAGAGAAAGATTCTCTTTGTTTCTCCTTGTTTCGCGGGGTGTACTGGAAACTGTTTTATTTTTATTAAATTCTAACTGAGGGCCCAGGTACTACTAGTACTTGCAGTATTAATAGCACTATTGTTAGTAGTAGCTCAATAGATAACTAAACAAGACCTTATTTGGAAAGCTTGGGCTGGGGGCACCTGCTGTAGTACCTCTGCATACATACTACTAGTACTACTACTAGTATCAGCAGAATGTGAGTTTCAACTGAATTTATTCCGGACATGGGATCAAAATTTTGAAACTTTTACTTCATTTGCTAATGAAAAGGCAGGATGTAGTCACCTAGCACTAGTACTAGAGACAATAAATCAAGCAAATGGCCAAAGCAGGTATTCAGCTTCTTCAGGAGCCCTCAGAGAGAAAATGTTACTACAAGCCTAGGTTTTGATTACAGCCCCATCCAGCGGCTGCAGCAACACTGAACAAACTTGCAGTTTTGTCTTGAAAAAGAACCCATTCAGAGGAAGAAGAGCATGTATATACAGTACTAGTAGCACCACTGCTATGCAGCCTCAGTTTGGTGCATTCCCAACAAGAAATTTATGTTTCCCATTGGTGTTGTGGTATGTATGTAGAAAAAATAGTGTTATTAGTAGCTACAAAACTGTAAAAAGCAACAGTAGCTATGATATAAAAAATTACATTTAGGAGTTTTTGTTGTTGATCCAGTGGTGGTACTAGTAGTAGTACTAGCATGTTTTACTGGTAGTACTACTAATAGTAGTACTATTAGTATTACTAGTACTACTAGTCCTCAGTATTAGTATTAGTAGTATTAGTATTACTACTA